AACAAGGGAGGGCCGGCAGGTGGTGTGGTGGATAAAGGTGCTGGATTCCCCTGTGGCTGACCACAGTTCAAGTCCTGGACTTGGCGGCTTGTTTTCTCGCTTTCCCTTTGGTCAAATAAAAAAATAATAATAATAACAAATGGAATTAAATAAGTGAATAATTCTTAAAAAAAAAAAAAAGGCAAGGGAAACCCTAAAATGACATAAAAATTTTGTGTATTTTTTTTTTTTTAAAGAGGGTTCAAGGCAAACACCCTAGCTTCTAAGGAGTACAAGATTCAAAATAACTCAGTCATTTTATACACTGATCATATGACAAGTGAGCATGTACATATGTACAAGTGCATAGATGGTGAGGTAGAAATATCCTGCCAGATTTTAATAGTTCACATTCTGACTCGTTATCAGTGATATGTCTAAACAACCCCAGTTTTTAGAAAGATAAATTCATTTCTATTTCCCTAAATTCAAGGTGAATCTATCCTTTACAATGGGAAGAAGCTACTGTGCATATGTTTAGATTCAGTGAGATTACTAAAATCAATGAATTTGATACAATGACTTTGAAGTTTTCTTTAAAAAGAAAATCTGGGGCTGGCAGCTGGTGTGGTGGTTAAGGGTGCTGGACTCCCAAATGGCCAACTGTGGTTCAAGTCCTGGACTTCGTGGCTTGCTTTTTCACTTTCTCTCTCTCTCTCTCCTCCCCCCTTCCGGACAAATTAAAATATAAATAAAATGTATGTTAAAAAAAAAAAAAGAAAAGAAAATCCAAAGCCTCCCAGGGCTTTGTAGCTATTCTCTGATACATAAAAAGTCATCCAAATTAAAATGCAATCTTCTCACAATTTCCAGGTTAATCTTTCTAAATGCCATTTTTATCATGGCATTCCTTTCTTCTCCCTCCACTCAGTCAAAGCTTATTCTCAAAAGGTACATCTTAAGGTTTATTTTCCCTGTGCTTGAAGTTCTCTGAGTTTCCAAGTCCACAACAATTTTTCTCCTCCTAATATTATGGTAGTTAGCTGCCACCATTCGCTTGAGAAGCTTTAAAATTATAGATACCTCAAGATCCCAATTTAGTAGACCTGAGGTGGAACCCATAAGTCTGCATTTGAAGACTCCCCTGGTGATTTTATTGATAATATGCTTCTAGGTTTAGTTGTCCATCTCTTTGCTATTCATATAATGCAGACTGCCTGCATTAATGTGTAACCATGCAGGCAGCCCCCCACAGGACCTTTATCATAGTATTTATCACATTACAGAAATCATTTAAACTACTTGCAGGCAGAGACCTCAGAAGCTAATAGTTTAGGCATATAGCCTATGCACAGTAAGTGTTCACTGAATTAATGAATATGGGCTGCAGCCAGACAGCTTTATACCCTGATCCATGCCACTCTGACCTTGGCAAGTTACTTAATTCCAAGCCTTTGGTTTTTCTTCTGTAGAGTTAATAAGCCTTGTTCTGACACGATTTTTAAAGAGTAAATGAATTAATGTAGGTAAAGCATCTAGCAGTTTCTGACACTCAGCAACAGTTAAACACCTAGCCTCCCTTCAAAAAGGACAGTATTTTAAGTTTTTTCTTTTTTCAATCTTCCACACAACCTAGCACTACTCTTTAGACAGGACACAATAAACATCTGTGGTCTTAATTGTATCAAACACCAGTTGCCTCTTAGACTGGCATTCTACACATACCAGGTATGTGGGCCCTGAGATGCTTTTGGATACTCATCTCAGGTACAGCAGAAATTCATTATGAAAAAAATAGTGGTAACACACCATCTTTATCTCCAACTATCTATCTGCTTTATTTTTTTAAATTTAATTTTATTTATTATTATCATTTTTCAATTTGACCAGAGAGAGGGAAAGAAAGTGAGAAAGCAAGCTGCCAGGTCCACGACTTGAACCGTGGTTGACCGTGTGGGAGTACCATGCCACCTGCCAGCCTCTGCCTTACTTTTCAATATACTACCACAGATATCACAGCACTCTTCTTACAATAAGAGTTCAGGTGCTCAAACAATGGTTTGTGTGTTTCTGTGTGTGAGTGCTTTAAAACATATCTATGTATTTTTAAAATTTAATTTCTACAACAATCATATTCAATTATTTATGCTTTTATCATGGTACTTTACAAATGAACAAACCTAGAGCTTGAAGAAGAACCAGAATACATGGGTAGAAAATAGTAGACCCATGGGGGGACCAGCAGTTAGCGTAATGGCTATGTCACTGAACTCCCACGTAGTTGACCGCAGTTCGCGTCCCAGACCCGGTTTCTTTATACTCATGTCAGGCGCGTGTGTGTGCATGCCCAAGATCCCGAGAGGAGAATGGAGGAGAAGGGACTGCGGCGTGACCATCCCCCCTGGGGGGTGATTTTTCGCTTTCTTTCTCTCTGTCTCTCTCTGTCTGTCTGGCGAGCGCATGTGCCCTACAGCAAAAACCTCTTAAAAAAAAAAAATAGTAGACCCATAGGACCAGCAGATGGCAAAATGATTATATCACTGGACTCCCATGTAGTTGACTGTGGTTCAAGTCCGAGACCCAGTGGCTTAAAAATCAAAGCTGGGCATGTGTGCATGTGTGCCCAAGATCCCCAAGAGGGATTTCTGAATTTCTGTCTCTCTCTCTCTCCCTGTCTCTCTGGCAAGCGCACATGCCCTATTAGCAAAACAAAACAAAACAAAACAAAAACCCTCCTTAAAAAAAAAAAAAAAAAGACTCATGATTCAAACCCAATTCTGACTCTAAACCCCAGCTTTTATAAAGTACACTAGAACTGGTTATGTGTTTTTGTGTGATTTTTCAAGGATTTTGTTCATTTCTTCTTTCACTGTTCACTCTGATACTGTCTTTTGTAACTTTTTTTTTTTTGAGAGGTTTTTTCGCTATAGGGCGCGTGCGCTTGCCAGACAGACAGAGAGAGACATAGAGACAGAAAGCGAGAAATCACCCCCCAAGGGGGATGGTCACGCCACAATCCCTTCTCCTCCATTCTCCTCTCGGGATCTTAGGCACGCACGCACACACGTCCAGCGTGAGATTTAAGCCACCGGGTCCAAGACGCGAACCGCGGTCGACTCCGTGGGAGTCCAGTGACATAGCCATTACACTAACTGCTGGTTCCCTGTCTTTTGTAACTTATTAGTTACTCTACAGGAATGAATTATAAGCAAATATACCAAACAGACAAATAATAGCTTCTTATACCACCCCTCCTTTTAAAAAGAAGTGAAAACTGGTCTGGATATAATAAACCACTGAAACCTGTAGTTAGCAAATTTCTGATGCCTCCTTGAAGTATTTCTTCACCAAGAATCTCTTTACTCAAGTCTCTGACAATGTACGTAAGGTCTGTACTCTTTGATGCTGGTGGTACTTAAGGCAAATTGAAGAAGTAAATAACTAAGTAAGCAGCAGATATCATTCTAAATTACTCCAAAGTCTGAAGAACCAGTTATAAAATAGCAACTCTAGTAGTAGTATTAAAACATACACACACACATTGCTAGGCAGTTACAATTGACTAAAAAATAGCAATACTCCTTTAAAAGGGTTGAAGAAAAAGAGATTTCAAGTGGTTAATCAATAAAATGAAATACGCCAAACCAAGAAGCTACTATTTAACCAGACTATAAGTTTGAAAATACTACTTTCATCAAATACCTCAAGCTTTTACAGTTTTTTCCTTAAAGTGAGATCCAAAGTTTGGCTGAAGTGCTAATGATTTCTCTGCAAATAAGCACACGGACTCACAAGAAGTCACTGTTCTCTGATAAAGTGTTCACTGTGGCACTTAAAATAGCACAAGTTAAGTGTTATATGAAGAACTTGAGGGAGTGTTCCTTCTCACATGAAATAGAAAACAGAGTCCAATTTTAACAACTTCTGGAAAAATTTGCACGTAGCAAACTTAAGATTAGTTGGGGAGAAGCTCTCAAAGCACAATGAGTCTGCCTATGAATCTTTATATCTCTAAACACAACCATAAATAACCTAAGCTATGCTACCTTACAGACTGGACTGTTTCTATAGTAAAAATTGTTTTCTCACAACTCTAACTGAACCTCTGATTAAAAATATTAGCAGATAAAAATTAAGTACTTAAAGTTAGGGCCATTAATTCCCACTGAAATCACTCACAATATTATACTCCCTTTTTGAATTTTGAAAACTGAATATCAGCAATATTCCTTAGCTAAATATCAACATTTCCTTTGTCAATTAATATTTATCTGCCAACCGATAAAACTTAGAATCCACTTTAAACTTACTCACTGTTCAATCATAAAAAGGGTCTATTTTGTCTCAGGTTTCCAAGTCGCTTAATAAAAACTTCAGTTATAGATTCTTTCTAATCTATTTTCCCTACCAAAAAAATAAAAAAATAAAAGCTTGTTTCTATAGGCTTTACAGATTTAATAACTTACATTCTCAAAATTAAGAAACATTCAGACTGACAAATGCAGAATGCACACTACATCTCAGAAGCCAATTTGAAATCTAACAGGTTCAATGTTTCCTAATTTGAAGGTGAGGCTTTGTGCAAAACACATAATTCATAGCATGATTTTCAAACTCCCAAATAAAAGTTTGATAAAATGGGCTCCCCTGTTGAATTCAATATGCTGCCAAGGTTGAAAACCACTGATCTAAATTGTGAAAATTTAAGACGGTCATATAGATATATATGAAAGGAAAGCAAAGTATTCAAAGAAAACAGCTTATAAAACAGTGGGGGTGGGGTGTGGGCACACATCTGTGTCCTTTTTAATGAGAACGTATGAACTGAAAGTCTATCTAACAGGTACTGTCCTATTTCCCCACAATGAGCTTAATTGCTGTTCATAGAGTTTGGCATAAAACTGTAGCTGACTCCAAAATCTAGTTCCATGTATATTTGAACATTTCTTTTGTTCTTTATTAATTTAATGAATTAGTTTACGAAAGTTTCCCCCTTGTCCCCAACCAACAATTTCACTTACATTATCATGTTTAAAAAAACACAACATCTTCAATTCCCGGAAGACCCTTTTGCAAGAGACCAGATTCTGGAAGACGTTGGGCATCTTTTTGAGTGCTACTCTCTTTCCATCTCTTGGATCTGTTACTGACCTAAAAAAGCAATATACAAGGGGAGAGGAAAAAAAAGAGAAATCAATTCCAAACCTCATTCTCCAATGTTTCAGATCATGACACTGATCTTAAAACATACAATATTAAATCCACTTAATATGGGTTAAATGTTTCAGTGAGAGAAAAGAGTCTCACCTATAATTAAAGAGATATCCAATCTATCTGCCATGTTTACTCAAAATTTCTTGTCTAAATTTCTATAAATACTAACCCTTGAGAGGTCACTTAAAACATCTGAGGTAGGAGGGCAATTAATGATCAAGGTCAAATTAATTTCATACTTAATTTTCATTTCATTACATATTCAAAATGGAAGAGGTATTCAAACATAATTTAAATATTTTGTTTTCTTATTTATATAAGCATATTTTGTAATATGGCCTTTAGTACCAGTACTAGCTGAACAATTTCTCCTCCTAATAAGTGAGTATCAGCTCTGGGATCCCTTTTAGCTCCTAAATAATGACAACTTCCTCCCTCTTATTTCCCAGCTCTTGGTATAGCAGTTGCTTCTTTATAGTTACTCTCTCTTTAATAGCTCATTATTTTATCTTTTGGCCTTCTAACACCTGTTCAACCTGTTTTTTTGTATTGCAATTCTCTATATTTCAAGCACTTGTATGACTTCCATTTTTTTGACTGGACCCAAATTGATACATATTACATCAAATAGTTAAAAAAAATCAATAAAGTAGGTAAATATGGTCAACTGATTTTCCATGATTTAATCTAGAGTTTTTCCCCTTCTATCCATCATTAAAAGTCTACTTGTTCTTATCAAATTTACTCCTGTCAGAGTCATTTATCTTGATTCCTATCTGTCATTCTCAGCTACCATATCTTTCAGTTCCTCTCCTGGTCATCCAATGCTTTGGGTATTCCTCCTAGATTTGTGTCTTTTTAAAATCTAACCCATGTGTCATCAACTTTATCCAAGTTATGAATTAAAATTCAGGACAGGACTAAGAATAGATCTTTGCAACAGATACAATACTAGAAACCATCTACAAAACACACCAAATTATTCATCTTGAGTGTGGTTATTCAATTAATTACTCATATAATTAATTACAATCACTCTATTCCTTCATCTTGTCCATGAAGAAATCCGATACCTGTCAAATTGTCTCCTGACAATACAGCATTATGTTATCTTCCTACTGCCTAAAAACCATTCCAAACTTCTATATAAACTCATTTTAGTGATCACTACTACTTCCTTTCCTCATGAAACCCTACAGTGATTACTCTAGTATTTTTAAAATACTTTTTAAAAGAATTATTTTCTTGGGACCAGCAGTTAGTGTAATGGCTATGTCGCTGGACTCCCATGTAGTCGACTGTGGTTCATATCCTGGACCCGGTGGCTTAAAACTCACGCCGGGCATGTGTGCGTGCATGCCCAAGATCCCCAGAGGAGAATGGAGAAGGGACTGTGGCGTGGCCATCCCCTCCGGGGAGCGATTTCTTGCTTTCTGTCTCTCTGTCTGCCTGGCCAGCACACACGCCCTATAGCAAAAACCTCTCCGAAAAAAAAAAAAAAGAATTATTTTCTTTAACTTTATTTTTTTATTTTTAATTTGACCAGAGAGGGACAGAGCTGGGGGAAGCAGAGTGAGAAAGCAAGCCACCACATCGGGAACTTGAACCATAGTCCCACCACGCCACCTGCCAGTTCCTACTTAGTACTTTTAAACAAGAGGACTCCACTTTCTCCCATTGAATGAAAATTGGATGAAACAATTAAGTTTTATCATTTTTGAATTTTTGCTAGCTTGATATGTAACTTAATTAGGCTAGGAGTTGCTAATATGGACTGTTGTTTACAAAATACCAACCATATTCACTATCTTCAACACCATAAATATGTCCAATAATTAAAGTAAATCAGAATTATAAAAGAAAAGGGGCCAGTAGGTGGCGTGGTGAAGGAAGCTATACTCCCACATGGCTGACTGTGGTTTAAGTCCCGGGCCTGGTGGCCTGCTTTCTCACTTTCTCTCTCACTCTCTCTGTCCCTCTTCAGTAAAAAAAGATAAACAGATGAATAAATAAATAGAGTTAAATAAAAATAACCCTTTAAAAAAGAAGTATAAAAGAAAAAAAGGGAAAAAATCCCAAATAAAATCTGCAATACTGCTTAAAATCCACATAAACTAATAAATAGGGAATACTAAATACTATACTCAGACTTTTAGTTAAAAGTATACTTTTTCTGTCCCAGCTATGGTGGTGCAGATAGTAGGGTGCTGCTGGAACCACGTGGGAGGCTTGGTCTTTGGATACTAGGTCTTTGGATACATCCCTGTGATCCTGGCTAGCTAGAAGGTGGGGATAACAACGTGGCAAGACTCTATCAAGCATATCTGTTTCTCTCTCCTTCCTTCTCTCTCTGAAATAATTTTTTAAAGAATTTTATCTACTGGGGCTGGCAGGTGGCAACATGGTTGTGATGGCTGGACTCCCACATGGCTGACTGCGGTTTGAGTCTCAGACCTGGCAGCTTGCTTTCTCACGTTGGTCAACTTCCAAAAAATAAAATAATAGCAACGAATAAAATTAAATTAAATAATTAAAAAAAAATTTTTTTATCTACTATTATTATTTTTTAATCTGACCAGGGAGAGACAAGGAGAGAGAGAGAAAGCAAGCCACCAGGTCCAGGACTTGAACTGTGGTTGACTATGTGGGTGTCCAGTGCCTCAACCATCATGCCACCTGCTGGCCCCCCTGAAATAACTTTTTTTTTTTTTTTTATAAAAGAAAAAGGTCATTTTTTTTTTTCTGTTTAAATGGAGCATATTACCTACTTATTAGAAGAGGAAAGGGTCAATGAGAAAGAAAGAGAGGAAAAACACATGGTATTCAATTGTCATGTCTCTTTTGTCTTCTTTAAACTGGAACAGTGACTTAGTATGCTTTAAAGGCATTGCCGTTTTTGAAGAGTATAGGCCAATTGCTTTGTAGACTGTCCCTCAACTTGAATTTGCCTGTTTTTTTATTTTCCCTCATGATTACATTTAGGTTATACATTTTTGACAGGAATAACACAAAAGTAATGACTTGTCAGTGCATCATAAGAGGCACACGATGTCAGTATGTCTCAATACTGATAGCAACTTTAGCCGCATACATGTGGTATCTACTAGGTTTCTCTACTGTAGCTACTATTCCCCCATGTAACTAAGTATGTCCTATACCTCAACAGACTGACTCACAACCTTGAGCACCCACTGAAGGCCTTTGTCTGGATCAATTGTTATTATAATAGTTGCTGAATGGTACTTTAAAAATGTTAGTATCTTTAAAAGCACAATGTGTATTAGTTTTTTAAAATGAGTAAATTGATTGAACACAATGCCCTTTCCAAAGGCTTCATACTACAGTTCTTCCCAACTTCTGACTTCTTACTGGTCACCCTATTGCAGTAAGGAAAGCTATTCTAAAATAAAACCACTCATGGAGATACTTAACAGGAGCACAAGGTTAGTACTGTGCCTTGTAGTAATGTTTTAAAGTAAAATTCACAAAGCAGCATTTTATTATTCATGCAAAAGGCAGTCATGCCTGTGGCTGGTAACAATATAACTAATGAATGTGAATGGCAGTGCAGTAATTTCACGCCATGTTGAGTTTGTTCTCTCTTAACTTGAGGCAGCAGATGCTTTAGTTCAGCACAAACAGTACCACAAAACACAGATAAGTGTGGAAGCATGTTAGACAGGAATTCTTTTATTTTCTTTGTTATTCAAAGGCTTAGTTTCTCTGCTGTGTCAATACTCTGGTTATTCCAACCGCACTGGTTAATGAAGCTCCAGCTGTTGAGATAATGAACAACATTAAGGGCAACTTTCCTCATTTCAGGAAAAAGGAGTCATCTTTACACCTTCAGTTCACTTACTGGTCAGTGACTTTCTCTGCTAAATCCTGGATGCTCTAAAAATGCTTCTGTCATTTCATCTAATGACCTTTTTAAGCATTCAAGTTACATGAACAGGTGTGTACTTCCTAAGTTTTAAGTTAATATGTAATTCTTCTGCTTAATTAAAAATAAAGTTTAAGGGGTTATGAGAAACTTTTCTAACACATGACCAGAATGCATCAATCCTTCTATGCACTTAGAACACAAGTTCCACTGTTTTTTAAGAGCAAGAAGATTCCATGAGCCATTCTTCAGAGAGATATAGAGCTAGTCAAAAGAGCACAATAACAAAACAGGAAACATTTTAGATGTGTGGCACTCATTTTGTTGTAGAGTTTTCTTTTTGAAAGAGACATTTTTGCTGTAGGGCACATGCGCTTGCTGGAGAGACAGACAGAAAGCAAGAAATCACTCCTCAAGAGAGATGGCCACACTGCAATCCCTTCTACATTCTCCTTTCAGGATTTCGGGCATGCACCCACACATGCCTGGAGTTTAAGCCACTGGGTCCAGGACTCGAACTGCAGTCACTACATGGGAGTCCAGCGATGACCATTACTGCCATCTGCTGGTCCCTTGTTGTAAAGTTTTCTTAATCCCAGGAAACCGTGACCATTGCCACAAAGCTGCTCAAATTATTGACAAGCAGAAAAGTAATGAAAAAAGAGTGAAATTTCAAATTGGGGATACTTTCCCAGGCATTAAAATGTCACTTAATACAACTTTAAATGATCACTTAAAATGTCTTTAAACCAGGCAGCACAAATCTCTAAAGAAATTATATGTTCTTTTGTTGTTGTTGTTGTTGTATCAGGTTTTTTCCCTTAGTTTTTTTTTGCCATAGGGTGCATGCACTTGCCAAAGAGAGAGCCAGAGACAGAGAGAGAAAGTGAGAATCATCCCCTCAGGAGGATGGCCACACACCACAATCCCTTCTCTATTCTCCTGGAATTTTGGGCATGCACACACACATGTGCTTGGTGTGAATTTCAAACCACCAGGTCCAAGACTCTAACTGCAGTTGACCTTGTGTGAATCCAGCACCTCAATCACCATG